AAAAATTGTTCGGATTAGTTTTCTATAGGAAACACTACACAAATAAATAAATAAATAAAGTGGAGCTCACACTCTACTAATTTTGAGTGCTTCTTTACGGATGCTTGGATCGCATGAATCATCAATACAAGTCGGATGCTTGGATGTCTTTTCTATTAAAGAATTTAGATCTACACTACAAGAGGTAATTCTCCATTCATTATTTTAATTCATGTATATAGAGTTAGTTGATTCAATGACATGATCTTGGGGCCTTTAAATGAAGAAAATTTTTTGTTTATTCCGTACCTCCATAGAATGCATGATCCTTCACCAAATATAACTTTAATGTTTTAAAAAGCTTATAGAAAGTTTGGAAGGTCTAAGTTAATCATGCTGGACATCCAACTTTAATGTTCGTGTGCCTCATTAAGCTTCCTTAGTGGCTTTTAGCTTATCCTTGCTTTTGGCTTGAGTTTCTTGCTTGAATTTAAGGTTTTTCCTATAAAATTCAAAATTTTTATCTTTATTTTAATTGCTTAAATATAGTACAATAAATAATAGAAATTTCAATGTAACGAGAGAATAAAAATCATGCTAATTATGCACTCATTACTAACCCTAAGATGTTTTGGCCAAATGGAGATAAAGCTTTGAGTGGTGCTAACAAACCGAACAACATTGGGCTGAATGCTGATAAGTGTTTCAAGTCTCTACAATTTAGTCACTTTACATCTAATTTTCTAGATAGTAGGGTTATCAACTTGGTAGAAAAAGCCGAATATGTTGACAAAGAAGTGGTAAAGAATGAAGAGTAAGTCTAGAGAAAGAAGGAATTACAAGTCGATATGAGAGAGCTCTAAATGATGCGTAGGACTTTAAAGGTTGAGGTAATTGATGTGGAGGATGAGTGGAAGTGACATACTCTTTTCCTCACACGAGTTGCTTCGGATGGCAAGGTATGTGACTTGATGTTTGATATTGGTAATTATGAGAACATAGTGTCCTTAAACATGGTGGATAAACTTAAGTTAGAGATTGTTAATCATCTTAAGTTGCATATGATGACATGGCTATTAAAGAGCAATATAATAAAGGTGACTAAGAAATGTCTTATATAGTTTTCCATTGGATCAACTTATCGGGATGAGGTATGGTATGATGTCATCCCTATGGATGCATGTCACATTCTTTTTAAGTGATCATGGTAGTTTTTTAAAATAGTAGTGCATGATGAATTCTAAAACATATACTCATTAAAGATGAATGGAGAAAAGATCACATTGATGCTCGTGAAGCTAGAGTGATCGACTAAGTCGGAGGTTAGTCAAGAAGGCAAGTCTACGGCTCAATCTATGATGGTTTGTAATTCGGATACTATGGGTAATATTGAGTGTGTGTAAAGGGCTTCATCATGATACTTATATTGGTTATGAGATAAAAGGTAGTTAGTATTCACTATCTATTTATGATGTCTATTATGATTATAATTATGTGGATGATTGCAACATTGAAATAGGTATAGATGGTAGCATCATTATCCTAAAAAATTATCTAATTAATCAAGTAGATGTTGGGGATGGAAAACATAGGAAAACCGAGAGTGTTGATGTTTTTAGGGATAAAATTGAGAGGGATGAATTTGTGTGGACTAAAATCAATAGTGTTAATTCTATTTTAAGTTAGATCATGCATGAGATCGGTGATGTTTTCTTGGATGTTTCTAAACCATTTGAGAAAAGGGAAGCCACTAAATTTGTTCCTTCATACAAGCACAACATCAAATCATCTATACAAGGGAGTCGATAAGGAATAGTGGCAACATATGTCTAGGTTTGAAAATTCATAACTTTAGGATGGTGAATTGTTTTGGGTGCATGTGAGGAGAAAGAAGTTTTTCAAGAAAAAGTATGTCAATTTCAAAGAGATAGAAGAACCCTTCGAATTAAGAGAAGATTTGGAGAGGCTTCATACAAATAAAGACTTTCTAGAGAATACTTTTTTTCTACCACTTTTTATGAGACAGACTTGAAGCTTTATGATGGAGAAAAAAGAGACAAGATATTGAGGATGACTTCTTTTTCAACTTGGGGAGCCTAACAAAAACCCGGATTCATTAAGAAATGCCAAAGGCCCGGGGCTAATTGGACTTGAAGAAGGCATCAATTTTGGATGTTCATTAAGGTTTACACATTTAAGACTTGAAGAGACCAAAGTTTTCAGCCTTTATTTATCTAATTTTAATACTTTGGGTTTTAGTTTTAATTTATCCTAATTAGTTATTTATCATTTCAATTATGTGGCTTATTTTTGTATTTTGGATTTGGGCTAAATAATTTGTCCTTATTGAATTTGGATTGCTATTTTATTTTAAGTATGGTTGAATATGGCCTAGGTCAATTAGGGGGTGTAGAATCCATTTTTTCTATAGATCCATATTTGGTTAGGTGTTTATTATTACGAAGATTTCATATTTAATTAGGATTCCATATGTGTTTTGGACTACGATTCGCATGCATCTTTGTTTAGTATGGACAAGTAAGGGTCGAATTTTGTCTCCTAATTTTTTAAAAGATTGTTGCATATTGTAACTTTAAGAATCTATTATCTAAACATCATTATGTAATGTGGAAAATGGGTTTGTGAATATTTAAATAATAAAATATTGACACGTATTTCTCTTTTTTATATGTTTCTTTGTGCTTCACTTAAGAGAATGAACTTATCTTTGATTTGGTCACTCAAGGTGGTGTTTTGATCATTTGCTTCAAGCAAAGATGGTTTTATCTCGTATCCTTAATTTTTGTGTATGTATCCTATGTAAATGTTAAAATCTACATAGTTAGGTCTTTACTTATACTAGTTTAATTATTAAATTGGATTTGTTTATTTATTAGACTATTCAAATACAACTCACAACATAATTGGTGTATGCATGCAAAGTTTTGAATTGGATTTATTTATTCATTGGATTATTCAAATACAACTTAGGACATAGTTGATTAGTGCATGCAAAGCTTCGACCATTACTAGAGTTAAGTTTAATTAATTTTTGGCTAATTGTTTCATTGTGTTCAATTGAATATTGATTTGATTAAGAGTTTATGACTATTTGGTAATTATTTATTGAGGTTTGATTGGTTTTTGAGCTTGATATTGATTGTGGAAACTTTGGATTTAGGGTTATGGTTTTCAACCTTGATCTATAATCTACGATTTGTTTTTTTTTTTATGGGAGTTTGTGACTTGAGGTTATTTATGGATTGGAATAGTGATTGAAAATTCTCATTTCGTGGTTCTTTGGATTGAAATTTTAAAATATATTGCTTGTTTGGCTTCGTTATTGGATTGTTGTATGTGTTGTATATTCTACAATGTGATTATCTTTATAGATACATGTCATCTAAAATAGCACTTCCACTATGATCATTAGAAAAACTATTAGGGTTCTTTTATACATGCCTTAACTAAGAGGGTTTGTAATTAAAAATGTAAAACAAAAAAGGTTGTATATTCTACAATGTGATTATCTTTATAGATATATGTCATCTAAAATAACACTTCCACTATGATCATTAGAAAAACTATTGGGGTTCTTTTATACATGCCTTAACTAAGAGGGTTTGTAATTAAAAATGTAAAAAAAAAAAAAAGTTAGATAGTAGTCTATAATGCAAGCATATCTTCTAACCTCATTGGTAAATGAACCAAATTAACTATAATAAATATACTAATACTATTTTTAATGATTTTTCCAATGTTATTTCTTTAAAAAAAAAAAAACTAAATTAAACACATTGTAATCGGTCTAAAAACCCTTGATCGGAGTTCACATCCTACTCAAATTAGTTAGACTATAAGTTTGCAAGGATATTAATATGTAACAATAATTAATCTAAACTAATAATTCAATTTTCTATACTAATGTAAATCAAAATAATAAATCTAAATTAGAAATTGAAAGATTAAATGATCAAAATACTAAGAAAAAAAGGTTGCAATATCGAATAACCTAAGAATTACGAACTTAAAATCTTCAATAGTACTTGAAGAATAATATTGTGTTAGTGTAGGTGCCCAAGATTCAACCTTGCTTTGATGGGTTTGACTTAATATATTATTACATTATTTATATTATTCATAATAAAAGAATTCTTTCTATTAATTTTTTTCATTTACATTTATTCATTGAATAAAATTAGATAGAAGTCCATATGATATATATTTGCATTAATGATTGATCGAAAGATGTAAGACAAATACTAATCCATATAAATGATATTGTTAAATGTCCTAAGCCATAGAATGGACATTCACCGAGAGCTCTTAGTTGTGCGCGCTCGGAGAGAGAAAGTAGAGAGAAATGTTCTCCTCCAAGAGAGAATTTTCCCTCCCGATCGATTCGTCGCCACTTCGGTTCCTCTTCTCCTTCCTCTTCCACTCGATACCTCCATCCTCTTGTGCCCTTCCCCGTTTCTACGTCCGTTCCTCTTTCCCCTTCCTTCGTGTTTCTGCTCACCATCCCCCTTTATGCTTTTCCTTTCTCCCCGCCTTTTTCTCTCTTCTCCACCCCTTGATTTGTTTCTCCCAACTCGTTTCATGGCTAAAAAGAAGAAGAAATATGCCTCTAGACTTTTTCCAACGAAGAGGGCGGCGTGATCTAGCGGAACTAGTGTTGGCCCTAGCGACCTCGTCCGGTCCTCCTTCTCTATCTACCATTATTACTCGTTCACGTAAATGGAAAACTTCAAACCGTGGTCGCTGGGTCTAAAAACCTTGCTAAACCTCCTTCCCTTGACCAAGTTGAAGTTAAGGAATGCTCTAGTGATGAAGATTTGGCATCCGAAACCGATAGTTTGGAGGAGGATTTAGATTTGGCTGAAAATTCAAACTCCCACCCAAAATTTTTCAAATCTGGTTTTCTCGCCCATGGTGCTTAGAAGGTTGGGAATCGGCCTCCAGCTGAGCTTCCTCATGTTGCCTCCGCCAAATCCGTGGTCGCTTGTTCCAAATTAGTTGCCCTACCCTCCACTTGCGGATGTGGAAGCCGAATCTTGCTCTAGTGAAGATGATTTTGACTCGACGAAGCCGGCTTGGCATATTCGGATTTAGGTGAAACTTTAGGCTCCCGTCTAAAATTTTCAAAAGTTTCAAACTCTCTATTTCCCGCCTAATTGGCCGATTTGACCAAAAATTCCCTTACTCCCGCCCAGCCTCTTCCCTAGCCATCTGCAGCTTGCCTTTCCGACGGTAGGACTAGCCGGGGGTCTCTGAAGCCGCCTTCCTCCCCATTTGGCTCGACCGGGCCTCCCCTCACTAATCGCCTCAACCATCAATCTCCCGTCGCCCTGTGTACTTCTCAACCCTCTTCCGGAAAATGGAGACTTGTTTGCTACTAATCGTAGTCCCGAATTTTGCCCTAAGCTCACTCATTTCTATCGCTATCACCGAAAGTAAAACTTGTGAATTACTTGATGATGACCCAAAATGGGATATATTGAAAAGATGTTTGATTGGGAATGTAGTTGGTAAATCCCATGGTTTTCGAGCCTTAAACGAGATTATTACGAGTATATAGAAGTGTTCGACTATACTCTCCATTCATGACTCGAGCCGACTTGTCTATACATTCCCCTTGGAAGAGGCTAAATCCTTGGTGTTGAATGGGGGTCCGTACCTAATCTTTAGCCGACCTTTGCTGCCGAGACTCATGCTTGAGTTCTTCGATTTTTTGCACAAGAAAATGTCGCAGGTGCCTATTTGCATGAAGCTTTCTAACCTACCCCTTAAATGTTGGTCCCCCTTATGCCTCTCTAAAGTGGCTAGCTCGCTTAGCAAGCCTCTCCAATGTGATCGGCTTACAACCTCTATGGAACGGATCTTTTATGCTTGGGTCTTGGTTGAGATAAACATCATGGAAGAGTCGTCGTGAATTGTAAAAGTTGGGTTACCAAACGATTCAACCCTTCTTCAACCGGTTGTGTATGAAACCTTTCCTACCCACCGTAAGTCTTGTCGAGTTTTGGGGCACTCTACTACCTCTTATGGGAAACAAGCACCGGTGGTCGGCTCGGACAGGGGAAAGGTTGCGAATGGGGCTACGAGCTCCAACCGTGCCCGAGTGATTATTTTTCACCGGATGGGGTCTACCGTTATCGAGTCGTCGGACATCCTTCCATCGGAGGCACCTCCGTTAGACTCAATGGTTTCGCAGGTCGTTGTGGCGCCCGGTGAAAGGTTGTTAATTACCGGTAAAGCCAATGAAACATCTCGGTTGAACTGCAGGCCTCAATCTCAACCGTAGCCTCCTCCTTAATGTCGGTAGCGACCTTAGGCGTAGCCTCCGCAGGAAAATCAAATGGGCACGAGCCCTCCATTCGTGCCTCCACAATGCAAGGGTAAAGTTGTTGTGAAGCACGACAATGGACTTAGAAAGCACAATGGGCCTATGGAAATTGTGGACTAGCTCTCGACATGTCGTGGTTCGATGAACGACTCGTGTGCTCGGGCTAGCGATATCAAGAACCGCAATGACTTAGGTTATGAAAAACATGATAAGGTGGTGCCAAGTGCCGGTACTGAAGCTCGAGTTGATAGAGCCGCTCTTATTCTCTACGCAAGCACGACCTATCGATGAGCCTCCGGTTAGTCATCGAAGCGATAAATCTAAAAGGAGTTCGAAGGGGGTTCACACCTCCTTGGTCGGTAGATGTTAATTCTCAATTGAAATGTTAGGGTTCTAAATAGTCCCTTAAAATAGCATGAGGTCACCGGCCTCATAAGAACGAAGAAGATAAATGTTTGTGCTTTTTCGAAACCAAGCTCGGTCCCTCCAAGCTCGCTCGGATGCACGAGTTTCGGTTTAAGCTTTGGCATTGCGCCTCCAATACCACCGATGCCTCTAAGGCTCGTATTGTTCTTTTTGGAATCCTACTATTGTTTTGATTGATATTCTTGATGCTTCGCCGAGGGCTGAATGTTCGAATCCGTAGCCTTGTTCACCGGTCGATATTCAACGCCACTTTTGTGTATGGCTATCATACGATTATTCATCGACGGTAACTGCGGGAGGACCTCGGCAATTGGAGCCCCAATTGTCCATGACTCGTGCTTGGGGATTTCAACTCGATACTTAGCCGTGATGACAAGCACAATGGCGCTCTAAGCTCTACCTATAAGATTTTGGATTTTCACTCCTATTGCTCGGATCTAGGCCTTCGAGGTCTCACCTATATAAGCGACCACTTTACATTGAACAGTGGGACCGTCTAGAAGAAGATTGGGAGAGTTCTAGCGAACCACCTTTGGTTCACGTCCCTTGTCCCGCTTTTGTCTATTTCAAGCCGCCCGGTGCCTTCTCGCATCATGCTCAAACCCGGGTTCGGATAGACAGTTAGCCCTCCAAGGTCGAAAACACTTTCGCATTTTTAATATGTGAGCACACCATGACAGTTCCTCTAGCTTATGGATTGGCATTGGCTCGGTGACATTAGAGGTAGCCCTATGTTTGTCTTATGTCGAAATTGAAAGCACCGAAAGGGCCCTTTAAGACCTTCAACAAGCTTCACTTCGATCATATCTCCAAAAAGTACCCCGAGCGACCGCGGACTTAGAGCGCCACTAGCTAGCCCACCGAGCATGATCGGGATAGCGGTAGTCATCTCGAACAGGATCGGCGCCTACGGTTGGCTTTGGTTAACCTAAAATTGACAGAGAAAATATTTTTCAGCCAAAAGCTTAAATGCAAGTATCTCAAAGAGAGTGGCGAGGGCAACCGTTTCTTCCATACTCTCACGAGCCAAAGCCACAAGCAAAATTTCATTATCGCCATAAAGGACATTAATGGGCAGCTCACCACTTCGTTTACTCGTCGTGGGAAGCATCTTTGTCGATTACTATCGGAATCCGCTGGCTCGCCGCAGACACTTTCCCGCTTGATGTGGAAGTTATTTCCGGTAGGCCTCGCCTTGATCCTAATGCTCATGACTTGCTCTTTGCTTCGATTCGATGAGCATATCGTGGCCACTCGTTTGGGATTGCAAATAATAAAGCTTTGGGTCCCGATGGCTACTCTTTGTTCTTTAACTAAGCCCGGGTAGTCATCGATGCTAACTTCTATGCTACGGTGAAGGACTTCTTTTACTCGGGCGCCCGCTTAAGCAATTCAATCATTTCGTAATTGACCTAGTTCTCAAAACGACCAACGCTTATTCCCTTTCGAATTTTAAGTCGATAACTTGCCGCAACGTTGTGTACAAAATAATTTCGAAGCTCCTCTCTTCCAGAGTTAGCCGATGCTTTGGTTGATGTTATTAGCCTCATGTAAAATGCTTTCTTGGGTGGGCGGAAGATGTCGAACAATATTCATCTTCTCTAGGAGTCGCTTCGGTAATATGGTAGGAAGCGGACCTCCCTCGGATGTCTTTTGAAGGTGGACTTCAAGAAAGCCTTTGATTCGGTGCGGTGGCATTTTCTTCGAAACGTCCTCTTACAACTTGGCTTCCCGAATGCATTTGTTCACTTGGTGATGACTTATGTGGAGTCTCCCTCTTACTCTATTTCGATGAATGGCAACCTTTTTGGCTTTTTTCAAGATAAAGGTGGGATCTAAAAAGGGACCCCATCTCTACTTATTTATTTATAGCTCGCATGGAATATTTTTCCCGCATGCTTCAGACTTTCTTCTACTAGGAATGATTTCTATTTTCATCCATAGTGCGGGGTTCACGAGATCGGTCACATTGCATTTATCGATGATGTCATGCTCCTTTGCTAATGGGATAAGGCCTTAGTCTAGTGCTTCTCTCACCAGCTCCGTAAATTTGGTAGTACTTCGTGGCCGACTATAAATAAGGCGAAATCATCAATTTATTTTGGGGGAATCGGTAGCTGACTCGAAGTAGCATCTCCTCTAGGATACCGGGTTTACGGAAGGCACTTTTCTCTTTCGATATCTTAGGGTTCCCTTAAGTCCCCATCGACTTTTACCAAGCCGCTTTCTCCCCTTTTACGAGCTTGGAGTTGGTAGCCCAAGCTCGGATAGGGAAACAATCGCCGGTCGATTAGAGCTCTTGCGCTCGATTCCGCGGTATCATCCAATTCCGGTTGGCCATCTTCCCTCTCCCAGCCTATAATTATTTCCCACATCACCAGCATTTGTCGAATTTCATTTGGATGGGGGATATCAAGAAAAGTCATTCTGCTTTAGTAGCTTGGAAGGAGTTATACTCGTCCGAAGCGGAAGGGGGTTTGATGCTCCGGGATCCGAAAACCCAAAATCGAGCTTCCTTGTCAAGCAACTTTGGGATATCCATCTTAACACGAGTCGATTTGGATCTAATGGGTACATCATTTCTACCTAGGGGACTATACAAGTATAGGATAGCCGAGTGAGCCGGACCGCCTCACCCCCGTGAAAGGTAATTCTCTCTATACGAGACGTGTTAATCGCCGGATTTGGGGATAGTGATCGGACGGTGGTGAGATTAGCATCTTGGGATTGAGATAATTTTATCCACAACGCCTATCATACCTTTCGACCCATGAGTGCCTTGGTTAATTGGACTCGGGGAGTCTAGGAAAAATGGGATTTCGCTGAGGCATGCCTTTGTGTTATGGCTAGCAATCAAGGGTAAGCCGAAAACTACGGACCGCCTCCGCTTTGTTCTGGATGATAAGAACTATGTGCTCTTGCAAACTCATGCCCGAATCCCATAGCCACATGTTCTTTACGTGCTCCTAGACAGCGGTGTCCGTGGGCTCGATTAGGCAATGGCCGCAGATTCGACGATGAATGTCTACCCTAGCCGGCGCCATTCGAGGCCTCTCCATTAGGAGGAATAATTTGGAAGCTAGAATGCGTAGAGTTTCGTTGGCCATCATGGTCTACCTTATCCGGGAAGAGCGGAATAAGAGAATCTTTGAAGGCTCTCCCTCCTCGATCGATGGCCTCTTCTAGAAGTTTCGTGTGCTCTTCTTTATGATCTTTCACTTCTATAAGCGGGATCATTCCATCCTCAAGACTAACGGCTCTAGCTACCGCCCTATTCCATACGCTTTGGTCGGCTCTAGCCTCGATTGCCCTGGAGGGTCTATTGTACAAGCCTTGCTAATGCTAGCCGCTCTTAGAGTTGGCCATTTTTATAAATTATTCCGCCACTATTTTGGTCTTCTCGGTAAAATTTTTATACGCTCGTTGAGCTTATATAAATGGTTCTAGTTAGCTAGTACTAGGTTACCATTTGGTTTTTCTTGGAATCTATAAATGTCGATTCCTTGAACAACCTTCCGATTCTAGCTATTTTGCTTTGTTTCCTTTGAGAGCTTGTTCCCAAACTCTTTTATAGCTTGTAAATGCTACTCTTGCTAGTTTTCCAGCTCTATTACCTTTTGATTTATATACTTACATTTAAATAAAAGAAAAGAATGGACATTGACTATATATGGTAAGATTGTGAGTGTTATGCTCATACTATAAGATAACGAGTAGGAGATCTCACATCTATTAGCATGGTGATGCTAAAGAAAGCACTTAGGTGACTTATGGAAGAGAACATGTCACCGGACTTGACTTGCCATAAGAATCGATTTGGTATAATCTATGAAAATCTCATACGAGATGGGTATAATTAGTCCTTAGACTTGATTTCATCATAGTTATCTCATTAGAGAATTTATATAATTTGATACTCGTTTTGATGGACCTAGTAAAGGATTACACATGGGTGATTTGTTAGGTATCCTAGGAATCTAATAGAGGTAGGTGAATGACTAAGATAGGATATGTCATTCCTTGTATGCTAATGGACTTATCACATAACACTTTAGCAAATATCTACTTAAGAAATATGTGACCACAATAGGAGTACACTAATAGAGCATAGTTGATGTACTCTAAGAGCTAACATATTTGAGGATCGAAGAAAACATATGTGATCATGATCGAACGAGACTAATAACAAAGTTTGAGATCACATTATGATAAATAGACATGAGGACTTAATTGTATGGTAACCATGCTTGTAAAAGATAATTGTAGATCAATTAATCTTTCGCGAGAATTGAATAGTCATGATGTCTTGCTAGAGGTCGGTCTTAATTTATATATCAAGAGATAAAAGAGTATCTTTTATTCTTGATACATTGTCAATATATCTAGAAGCTCGTTGATTCATACATATAAGTTTAAGCATTCACATGATTAAAGTGAAGCAAAAATATTGGAAAAAGTTTTTGATAATGGAAAGTTTTTTAAAATGAAAAGTTTCTTATTTTATAGATTAGTTTCCTAATTTGGAAGTTAGTTCCAAATTTGGAAGTAAATAGCCTAAAATGGAAATTAGTTTCCTAATTTAAGTTTAGGGTAATTTGAGAAATT